TCATCAACAGAGCGAGTAAAAGTGTCAACTCAGCGTTTTTGTAATCGGTATTATTCATTTACAAATAATTAATTTTGAAAAAAACGGCAGACATGTAGAGTGTCGATGACTCTATCCCAGAAAAAAAGATGAGCTCAAAGGAATATCGTGGAGCCAAGATATCAATTTCTTTCTCAAAAAGCACTAGAATTACTGATCGAATTAGGACCAGGCTCTCTATACGGAAATACTTTATTAGAGATTACTGAAGAAAGTACTGATCATTTTTCTTTTGTGAGCGAATGCATCAGTTCAAACTGATGAAAGATATTTTCCCATATTGTTCATACTATCTTGTAAAGAAACTCAAGACGCAGTTTTCAGAAACATAGACAGTTTTATGACTTGAAATGACAATGAACATGTGATCAAGACACGAGCTCGTGAGTGACAGTGTTCATGCTAATGCAATAGATAAATTCGTTGTATAGAAAGAAAAATGACAAGTATCATAGTGTTTTCTTTGTTTCCAAATAATTTCAGAACAATCATGGTTATTTGTCCATTAGAAAAAGAACACTCACTCTCCCCTAAACATCATATCTCACCTTGAGAATGCTTGATTGTTAGGTATCGAAAAGGAAAATGTCAAGAAGTAAACGGTACAAAATCAAAATCGTAACTGATCACCGGTCCTCTCTTCATTCTCACACTTTCAAGAAAACTTTCTTAGGTTTGCTTGACTTTCTCCGATATACTGCTTGTTAAAGCCTAATATATTTGATGAGAAATTGACACGAGGCAGCTTCAACTCGGATCTCGTCTGTAACCAACAGAAAAAGAAACAAATGAGAATGAGACGCACAAGTCTAGTACTACAGAGTTAAACCAGCAGCATCTCTCTTTCCGAATTGGTCTTTTTTATTCTTTACAATGATTCGTAGGATCAAAATTATTTGATGTTCGCTAACAGATTATCAACATAATGTCCATGAGTCATACAATCATGTTCTACCAAATTATTTCGAACAGAATCATAGACAATTAAAATATTATTAACCGCTCAGCCTAAGAAGCAAGAGTTAATGAATAATCTACTTCTTGTGAAAGTAATTTTATTTAAACAGACCGTTTATTGATTTTTCTCACTAACATGAAACTATATATCATGCTAAACAGTCGTTATGAATCAGCGATCATAATATCGAATTGAATACGTAACTAATTATATAATGATTTCTTCTTTTTTGATGTTCCAAGTATTGCCTATCACTACGATATTAACTTGTGTACTTTTGCAAAATCTCAAATACACCAGAACATACAGATCGCGAATCCCAATCATCTCCAATGGGAGGTTCATCAGGTTGAAGAAGCGTTCAGTAGAACTCGAATTCACTAAATGTTTCATCTTGTAGTTGAGCACTATCGAAACAAATTATTTGCGGTACGATCTTCTTTTCAAGCAAAAATCGTGCATCTGATATAGATGTGCTCGAAAAATGTATGATAGATATGATATTAGCAATGAATGATTCGTAAACGATTGGTCTACCATATTCAGTACACATCATGTTTCGCAAGTCATAATAAATCTAATACTCTAATCCATTAAGCCATATATCAATGCAAAGTAAAATAGTTGTTGACAAGCATCTATCATTACGAAGAATAAAATCTGTATTTATTGTCGATTTTCCCATGAAAATGCCTATTTCAACAATAAGATGAATGGGTACGTCAGTTTCATTTAGTATTGAAGTGAACCAGCACTATATAAGAGATATATGTGGATAAGAACCATCAAACGTTTTCTTAAAATGATTCGACCATGATTCATGCAAATTGGGCACGTCAGATCCAAACAATAATGCATGTAGTTGCTCATACGAAATTGAGTGCAATGTTGGTTTTTTAATCCAAGCGAAGTCTTCGAATATTACAAAGTAATCTTGAAAAAATTTCCGATGAGTTATTCGAGTGTCAAATCGATGATAATCATTCAGCTAACTGTTGTAACTAAGGATATCTCTAGCATATGGTGTATTGTATGCTCGTGCAAAGCTCGCTATGTTACTATTTCGATGTAAGAATATAATAATCAAAAGCAATAGTAACATAAGCCATGTATAAATAATATAAAAGCATCGTTTTCTAACCATTTGAAGATAACATACTTACTTTTCAAACGATAATCGCGTACAACAATTTATATTAGTTTCAGCCTCTGCACAAAAAAATTCATAGAACTCTTCTGGATAAAACTACTCATTAACTCTTGACTTCTTTAAAATAAGATGTGCCAACCGATGAATCATGTTCACCAATGAATAGTTATTATAGAAAGACAAAATATTAACGTAGAGATAGAAAAGTTTGATAAATTGCAACTATCTGATCTCAAATATTCTATTGCAGAAGTTATTTATTGTTTGAGAATAAAAATGCAACTGTCATGATACATACACATTATACTCATTTTCGATCCGTCGAATGAGCTGAATCAATATAAAGCATTGTTTTAGATCAATATTCATTTATTTTTGCTTTTACTTAACTCTGCATCGATGGTAATATTCTTGTCTTGCTCGAGTCATGAAAATAGTTTGTTGATAATTCAATTGAATCCCGTTCATGGCGAGACGTTTTCAATGCTTGACTAAAATACTCGGACAAGTCAATCGCTGAGAGATGCAATACGAAGAATTTTTTCGAATATAGGATACCTAAAACATATTGAAGAACGAATGACGACATAGGAAATAATAAAGAAGAAGCACGGGGCTGTGAGATATCTTCATCAGTTTGTGAGATTGAAATTGGAGTGTTTCGTCTGTTATCGTTAGAGCAGAGAATAGTTATATTGCCTCGAGAAAGTAAGCCAAAGAATACGAGAGAAAAAAAGAGTGAAAATAAATGAACGAGAAAGAATAGAGATATGGAGAGAAGCAAGAAGAGTAAGAAGAATGTATGTGTAGGCTTAACATGGAAAAAGATTGCATTGCTTTGAAGTAATCAAGAGTCCAGCCTGCTTGAAAAATAAGCAACACTATTTGTAATATCGTTCACATTATGAAAAGTCTTTCCAATAATAAATATTTGTATGAAACTCAACTGTTTCTTTTATTATCGTCAAGTTTCTGTGATCTCATTCTGAGAATATCTGCCGCTTTGAGATGTCATTTACTGAAAATTGATACTCATCTATTATGTAATTGAACTAATAAACGACTTTTTTTTTTATCATTACTAGATCATGATCGTACCACTTGGAAATTAGCCTGTCAGTACGAAGGAAAACGAATATAATAATTACTAACTTTATTGTGTTTAAAGTCTACTTATGAGAACGAGTTCATATATGGTTAATCACATAAGTTACGTGAGTGTAACTCGTTTCATTATGTACGATTGCATTCAAAGAATTGACGATTGGTCATTACGAATTTTCAATCCAAAAAAAAGTTTATCAAACTCATTCTAATTTATTTCAGTTAATTCTCAACTATAGTTGTGCTTTACACAGTTTGTTGATATTGTCGTTGGAGTGTTGAATAATTAGCGATAGCTCTAAGCCACAGACACAGTTGATAGCCTGCTAGAGAACAGCATCGAACCCGTTCAGGCTCGCATTCTGGACGAACCAAAATAGATTTGAGACATTCCAGTTGTTCTTCATTGACTTGATCTCTATCAAAGTTAAGCAACATCATCAAAAGCTCATTGACTTTGGTACCCAACCACTTCTTAATTTCATACCAATCGGACATCCGTTTTGATGGAACCAACAATACAGTTATGCCTTCAAGTATGTAAATAATACTAAGAGGTGGTTTACGGAAGGTCATAAGTTCCGTAATTCCGGCCTTGGTAAGGACTTGTAGACTCGCTTCAGCCTCTAAAGAAAAATAATTGATAATGATGATGAATAGAATCGATAAAATACTGAACCTGCCAAAGATGGAGCCATCATTTCACGATCAATATTCGATGACATTACTTTCCTAGTATTCGTCTAATAGACAATCGGCGATTCGAATGGAGGCTTGAAGTACATTTATATATGTAAGAGGAACAGAATAAAACACCATTGTCAGATAATGACATAAGTAATACACGCTGACATGAATAATTGTTTTGTAATGACAGAAGCAAAAAAAAGCATTGTTGGCGATAACGTCATCAGAACGCGTCACTATTGTAGTCATACTTGTTGACTAAACACAAATGATTCAGCAAAAACCAGTATAGAGAATTTATTTCAAGTATTATCAAATAAATTTCTCAATGAACCTATTGTCCATGCTAGCCGATCGTCTTAGAACGTTCCTTCAACGATATAGTAAATCTTGAAAAATAGAATGATTGTAGGTCTTGCCATAGAGTTTAATCCCATAAATGATTTACTTCGCATTTTCAGCAATAGTCAAAATATTGTTAGGATATTCGAGAAGAATAGCACTGACTTGATATGTTCACTTTCTTTCATGGACATATTAGTGTATTGAGTATTTTCTATCGCGGAATCATATCACGATTGTTAATTTTTCTTCTATACTTAGTTGTTGAGATTTCCAGTATTTGCTGAGACTCATGGTGGTTCAGTTACACTGAGTTTAGATAAACAGGAACTTTTTCGTGTAATGATCATACTCAAACGAGATGCATTTTAGTCAACAACGAATAGAAGCATCCGATTGTGATATCTTCCATTATATGCATGAATAAAATGCTTACATATAAATGTTGGCTGATCTTTGAAAAAGATCGGTATGACAGAGAAGATTGAGCCAAGCATTGCTCATTGATAATCCATATTCTTCAAGTACTTTTTTTTGAAGATGGGATCTGTGAATGGATGTGTTATAGTGCTCATAGCCAATTTCTTGACCTGCGAAAACATATAAACCAATGCTTGCTTCAACTATACTTTGAGTGTCGTCTTGATGACATACGCAAACGCATTGACAAGCTATCAGCATTCGATTATGACATAGATACTCCTCGTTGTGTTTAGAGCGAGATATTAGCGCAGGATGAGCACGTAGGTGAAGATCTTTTATTCTCGCTTAGAGTGTGAAGTCGCAAACCAATTTTAATCGTACGCCAAATCCAAAAAGACAACATTTGTAGTTACTTCAGTATTTCTCGTCTGTATTCCTATCTATGTTCAAGGATATCGTGGATATAGGTATTAGAATTCAAACCTTCCTTTGACTTCCATCCCACTCTATCCATCGACACCCACACCAACATTCTTGTGTAATACGGAAAAAGAAACCTTATAGCAATGGGGAACGAACTGATTTCAATAGCAGAAATCAATTTGAAATTATTAGAAATCACTAAAAATCACGAAATCAGTTTGATCCTTCTTGATTCGAGTAGAATGATGAATTGTGGCAACGTTGACATTTTACAAGAAACATGCTATTCTGTTAATGACGACTTTCAAAATTAGAGAGATGTGTTACAATGGTCATATTGTGTGGTAAATCCATTACTCATTAAAGGCATATGCTCTTTAAGAATATCTGTGAAACATTGCATATTAAACTCTCCTGAATTGGCATGAGCCGCAATGAAGTCATATGTAAGAAAACATAACATCAGCTTCCGATTGACAGACATTCAACAATTAACCACTGAATGGCTAGGTCCTTTAAATTTCGTTACTGCCAGAAGCTACATCGCTCATCCATAGACGATGAAGTTTATGATGATGTCAAAAATTGACATAGTTTGTCATTTAGTTACAGGTAGTTGCAAGGGAGAAACATCATACTTTTGTACTTTACGTACTTTAAAGTACAAAAATGAATCAGAGCCAATAATTCCATATTATAGAAAGAAAATGAAGCCTATCGATTCCGATACGATCCTGGAAATGAAAGGTCTTATTTCAATGTAACAACAACGACCTTTGCAAGTGTGTAACCATATATCATTCTCTGAAGTGACTTATTTTGCTAAAAATATAATTCATGATACAGAGATTTTTAGCTTTAACAAGGACAATAAAAATATAAGTATGAAAAAATGTTAAAAAAATCAAATTAGCAATAAATTCAATTTCATATCAGTGCCATAATTCTTGCTTGCATCAGCTATTCCCGTAGTTGATTAAACATCAACTCTTCTGGATTAGTGCCAGAGAATATAGGATCAACCAATCTCAATATAAAAAAAATCAATAAAATATGTTTGGACTTTTTTTCAATGATAACCTTGAAAATTCGCGAAAGATCATACATAATTATGAAAAATCTACTCAAAGCAGGTAAAGAAAATTCTAGAATTTGGTATCAATGATCGAACTAATAAAAGCATAATGAAAGAACAAATAAAATAAAAATGCTAAATTTTTCTTTATTTTTTTTAATGACCAATTTTTTTTCATATAGTTCATACTTCCATAATAATCAAACTTTTATTTTTATTTTTCAATTGAATAGAAAGTTTTAATAAGAAGATAAAGCGACTGAAGAATAACAAAACAATAAAAGAAAAAATAAAACGAAACGTTAGCAATCAAAATAGTAGAACAAATGTAAAATAAAAACATCAATGTTTTACTTATTTATTATATCTATTCTCATTTTAATTTATATTGATGGTCAAAAGATATTCACAACTGTTACACACGTAAGAGCACTCAATAAAATTAATCTTTCTAATACGATATAGTTTAATTTTTTATGCTTATAGAATTGCATAGGAATGTAGATTGATTACAACTAAATGACAAAATGGAAGGAAAACATTAGAAGAAACAATGCGAGATTAAGAGAAAAAGAATAAAAGTTGGTATTTTTTGGATAATTTTATGTTCATTTATATGGTGTTGATAATTTGTTGTAAATCGACGCATTTTTAATTGTTATTGCTTGATTTTTCAATTACTTTCTTGCATAAAGTTTTGAAGCTTTGATTTAATATCTGAAAAATTTCATCAGTAATGATGCAACAGAACACCAGTTGCTCGTTATTAGAATTCACACTGAAGATCACCCAGTCACCGTTGTTTTTTGCATTTTTAACCTTTTCTTGTTGGCCTTTATTATTAGAAAGTAATTTATCAATAAGTAAATCATAGGCTATATTATTTTTTGCATAATTGTACTTTGAGCAGTAGTAAGTTTCATGAGCGTCGGCATTACGTAAATACCGGACTAAATAATTTTTGCTTTTTATTATCCACTTTTGAGTAGAATGGTTAAAGTTTTGATTCCACAACTTCCTAAAGGCATTTGAAATTTTGTTTATATCATTGTTTGCACCTTTATGTTTGGTTGATAGACTTTCAAATGATGAATAGATCCTTTTCGCAACGATAAGCAAATTATTTTCCTCTCTGGAACGATTATAACCATCTTGCAAAACAGCAACATTTTTAATGCGAGGAATATAACTATCATCAATTTTAAACGGTTGCGTTGGTGTTATATCAGTATCGATTTGTTCAATAACATTTATAATACATTCTACTACACTTGCACGATTTTCTGGATCAATGAAGCCCAACGCAGCTGCTACGACCGTCACTGCGATTGATTCGAAAATAGAAAGCTGTATGTTTTTCATTTGATTATTATTTTATACAAATAATAAAGAGTGAAGTTAATTTTCTAGAAAAAAAACAATAAAGCTACTGCGTAACATTATTCTTCTACTAACTTTGAAATCTGATATTTTGAACATAAACATAAATGAATATACGCAATAGAATCAATCTGCATAGATATCTTACAGAAAAAATGAATAATAAAAATCTCTTGGACATCTATACAGGATCGTTCATTTTTCTCTTGGAAAAAACTCGGGTTTTTTCCAAAGAAAAGTTTTGTCAAATTTGATAACGTGATAGGCGTATCGAAACAGATGACACTGAGAAACAGCGTCGATGGAAAGCGTTCATTCATTTATTTTGTGAAAAAAAAAATCAAATCATTACTTAAAATAATCATCGAAATAAAGAGACTACAGTTGATAGAGATCCCTGTACTCACATGTTTTATATGTTCTCAAATTTATCAAGGTCAGATTAAGAAAGTAAACTTGAGAGAAAATCGATGTAAAGCGCTAGCACGACACGTTTAACTCGATCGAAAATGCTTTTACACTTAAGTTTTAGAAGTCGAATAAAGATGAATATACCGAAATATGTATGGCTGAGCACCGTCATTCAAGTCTAGAGATAAGCAGAAGCAACTTTAGTCCTACAAGCGAAACTAAAGATTATAGTTCCATGATCTACGGTTTTAAGCGAATTATCTTATACATCATATTAATGAGAATATAATTCCAGAGAGATGAGTGAAAAATGCTGGTCTTCCACTAAATAAAGGAATAACTCTTGGAGATCTTTTTGCTATGTGATGTGAAAAAATTCTGAACTAGTTTTCTCTAGACTGGAAACAGCGGAAAAATTGCTGAAACCAAACATACATGGCCCCATCCATCTCTAATCAACTCCGCTTCTCATTATTTGTAACTTCAACTATTCAGAACTCACCGAAACTCATCATACAAGCCGTACATCAATTGACACAGAGAATAAGGAACATCTCACTCTATGAGCTTTTTTTTATTTGAAAAAGTTGACTACGTAATAGAAGCATTCAACATGATAAAAAAATAAAAATGGTTAAAGAATGCGTTTGAAAAAGAAAAGTAGGAGGCAAAATATTTCATTCATTGAGTAGAAAATCTTTATCATACATATTTTAAAATTTTTCTAATCTTCTTTATTCGTACTTAACTATGTTTCTTTTCAAAAAATATTAGAAAAAAAAATAACAGATGTTTTCTTTTCAAAGAAAGGTAATATATGATTCGAAGAAAATGAATCTAATATTTATCTAATTTACGATAATAGCATATGAATCAATCGATTTATCATGAAAATTCAATTGAAGAGAATCTTGTCGATCAAATCATTATTATTCTGGAAAAATAGTATATAATCGATCAATATCAATATCTGACTGAAGATAT